AAGAGATTTTTTTTAGTTTTCATGAACAGGGAAGGAAATATTAGCATATTATAAATAAATAGTAGAAAAAACATATCATGAGAACTGAAATTGTGACTAAACTTGAAAATCGGTGGCCATATCACGTACAATATGAATGAAAATCACGATAATCATGCAAAAGAGTATTTAATTACAGCTTTTGTAAAACGAGCATGGTGGTTGAGGGCTTGAGGCCACTGGATGTCTGGATGTTAAGAAATCTGTTTCTGGATGTGTCTCGTCATCTAATGTGAGCTTTGGGTCAAAACCCTCCGTGGGATGATGCAGAACCCTCCAGTTGTGTTGCCTTCGTCGTCGGTGGAAGCCTCCGCGGAAAGCAATCAAGCTACGGAATCGGAATGGAACTGGCTGAAGGCAGGTGAGCACGCTAGCTAGCTTGCAAGTACAATTGTACAAACAGGCCACGCCGCCGCCGCCGCCGCCGCGGCGCGCGCTGCGGCGGCCGTCTGCAGTTCTACCAACAGTCGCGTGAGGCAAACAAACACACAAGCACACGCCGGCCGGCCGGCCAATGAGCTACGGCTACGACGACGAGGCGACGGGCACGGCTTCGAAGAGCTTGGCGAAGTAGAACTGCGTGGAGATGAAGCCGCGGTTGGCGACGCGCCATCCGGCCTGGCGGAGCGCGTCCTCGATCTCGGCCTCGGCGTGCAGGTAGGCGCGCGTGGCCTTGGACGGGCCCGGGAACAGCTCGCCGACGCGCTTGAGGAAGTCGAAGTAGAGCGTCCTGGGCGCGAAGCTGATGAGCAGGCGCTTGTCCGCCAGCGACGCGAGGTGGCGGATCATGGCGCGCGCCTCCTCCCGCGGGTAGTGGATGAGCACGTCCAGGCACACCACCACGTCGTACCGCCCCTCCAGGCTCTCCAGGTCGCGGACCTCGAACCGCGGCATCCGGAACGTTGACCCCGGCGCCGTCGCCTGCGCCAGCGCCGCCTGCCGCTGCGCCTCCGACACCATGGCCGCCGAGATGTCGGAGGCCAGGACGGCGGCGCCCTCGGCCGCGAGCGGGATGGCCAGCGACCCCGTCCCGCACCCGGCGTCGCACACCGTCGCGCCCGCCAGCTCCAGCGGGGAGTCCCGGAGCATGGAAAGCGCCGCCGCCACCGTCTGCGCGTGGCCCTCGCGGATGTCCAGCTGCACGCGATTCACGCCCTCCGTCGCCGACCCGTAGATCTTGCGCCACCGCTCGAACCCCGTCGAGTTGAAGTAGGCGCGCACGGCCTCCTTGTCCCCGCCGCCCGCCGCCTCGGCCTGCGCACGCCGACGGCGCTCGGGGTCGGAAAGCGACACCGCCGCCGCAAGCGCGGCCGCCGCAGCGGCCGCGGCCGGGAGGGACAGCTCCGGGAGGTCCGCGGCCGTCGGCAGCGCCGCGGCGGTGGTGGCGGGCGCCTTGCCCTGCTGGGGGCGGAGGAGGACGTGGGAGGACTGCGGGTTGTGGAGGAGGGAAGGCCGTGGTGGAAGAGAGTGGAGGCGGGAGAGCGGCGCGGTGGAGACGCCGGCGCGCGCCATGGCCGGACCGGAGTGAGCACTGAGCAGTGGAGTGGCTCGACTGCGAGTGGTTCGCGGGTGATGGGATGGAGTTGGGATTTTGGGATAGGGTTTTTGCGGATTGCCCCTCGTGTGTCTGGAGATTTGCCCAGATTTTCTGCGTGGGTGTGTGGTCGAGGGGGCTCTTGGGATAGGGGATTTGTGTAGGGTTACTGTCCCTTTTTCTTTTGTGATGATGAAAGCGCCTAATTTTGCTTGGTTTCAGCTACGTTGGGCTAAAATACGCTACCATCGCGGCCCAACATAGCCCGCTATTTCTTGCTTGTAGTTACATACGGGTCCATTTCACCTCTTAAATAAACTGGAAGAAATCCAATTCTTTCTCTTTTGTCTTAACCCTAAAACCACAAATGTTACGTACCCCAGAACTATATCCACCATGCAAATCACACTGCCACATGTGAGTCATGTCATCTGAAACCACCCTGGAAACCACGTGAAGGTAATTTGCATAATCTCTCCATTGCAAAATGTATGTCGTTTTAGTTTTGTTTTAAGCCATTTTTTTTAACTTTGATCAAAGTTTATTAAAAAATACATCAACATTCACAATGTCAAATTAGTTTCATTAGATAGCCATAACATATACTTTTTTTTGAAACTTGGTCTCTTAGGCTACTTAATTAACTCAGCAAAACCGTGAGCCACCAAGTTTTATACAAACTAGATGATATCCCGCGCGTTGCTACGGGAACTTTGTAGTGATATATTGGAGGAATATTTAAATGGCGAGAAATAGTAAATCATGAAAATAAAAATGTATGTGTGTTGAGTTTATTTTTGAACTGCTGTGAGAACCGGGGAAATTGTAGAGGAACACACTGGATGAATCAAGCAAAGATGAAGTAGCAGGAACTTGCCCTTGCAGTCCGAAGAAAATATTGTAATTATCATGATGATATTTGGTAAACTGTAAGCATGTATTAAATGACAGAAGGAAGTCAATTTGTTTGTGATGCATCCATGACGCGATGGATTTGCTTGTAGACTGCAAAGTCTAACATCCATTGTAGTACTTTTAGATTGTTGTACATATACTTATGTCATAGGAAATTGTCTCACTGCTAATCAAAATCAACTTTTGCTCCCATGCTTTGAAGGATTTCGGGATGCTGCATATTTCAGTTGAGCGGGCTTGGCGGCTGCCGATGCTGAATGGTATCTCGTCGTATCGCTTCTTAGCCAGAGGTTATGGGAGGTAGACTGCGAATGCTCAGTGGCGTGGACACGAACCTGTCTTCTTGCTGCATTAACAAAAATGATAGGTTGTGCCGAACATAATAACAGCAAGAGTTTAAAAAAAGGATACATTTGCTCCTCTAGTGTAAACAAATTAGAAAAATATAAGAAATGAGAGCTCGTGTACCAAACAGCAAGAGACCTATGAAGCAATAGAGCACAAAATCTGCCGGCAATGGAGCAGCAATGGTCCTCGTGGGCAAAACGTCGAACACCTTTCAAGTTGGAATACAATGCAATGATCTCATTAGGGATACGATAAAACAGGGGAGACGACCTCAAAGATCAGAGTTGAGGCAAGAGCGGATACAAATTAGGAATGGACACTTAGTGGCTGGCGCCATTGATGGCGAGCAGACGGGCGACGGCTGCGTTGGATGACCATGGAACTACAGGAAGCCATTTTATTAAGCACAAAGACAACGACGATTCAGTTCAAGCTGTTTTCTCCTCATTTAGACATGCTTGCTGCTTGATCTCTACTACAGCTGTGAGCTGCAATTATTTATCGGGGAATTGGAAGTGGATGGGACAGAAAGTGGAGGGGCCATGGGATGCGTGCGTGACTGGAAACCTGCCCAAGCAACTTCTTAATTGCCTGCCGTTTCACCACTAACGCATGTGCGTTTCAGACGGAAGCAGGACATAAGCAAAAGAGGGGGAGGCACGCGGGCTGTTGCGTTCGTGCGGGGAAGGATTAGGGATGAAAACGGTCGGAAAATCTCTCAACCATTTTCTACTTCTACATTTGAATATGAAAACGAAAATGAAAGCGGTAAAGCCGGACACGAAAACGAACACGAACTTACGGAAGATCAAAAATTTCGAAAACGAACTAATTCGAGCAGAATTATGTCGAACATGGTCGGCATACGAAAAATCAATACGGAATATTGACCCGTAGGACCAAGTGCATAACAATTAATAAGTACATAATAATTAACAAGTCCTACAACTTTTTTAAAAAGTATCTTCATTCGACACGATGTAAGGAAGATATGATTTTTTTAAGGCAACAAGCGCTTATACACGATTAATATATCGCTGACTTTGTTTATTTTTTTGAACATCTTCAAGATTTCAAATGAAAAAACTAAGAACTAAAAAGTTGTAGATCTCGTCGAGAGCTATAATTTTCATATAAAAATCATCTTCATCCGAGATCGTATGAAAAATATATTTTTTTTCTAAGGTTGGACTTGTAGTGGGCCAAATTTGGTTTAAACCGAATTTCGAATTCGGGATATTCTGAATTAAAAGTAGAAAAGTAGAAAACGGTCGAAAAAATGTCTAAACCGTTTTCGTTCCGATTTCGAATTTGATGTTCCGAATTTCGAACCGAATTCAAATTTGTCCGAAAATACGAATTCGATCGGATAAAATATAGAAAACGATGCGGTTCGGTGCGGAATATTTTCGTACCGTTTTCATCCTTAGAAGGATCACGCTGGCCGATGGTGTTCCGTTGCTGTGGGCTGATGCTGAAGTGGCTTCACGAGAAGCCAGAAAAATACGCTAATGGTGTTCTCCAATCTAGGTATAGGAGATAGAGGGATTGGGTATTTGTCAGTACTCAGCTACCGAGTGCTACCTCAGAAGAGCCTACGAGCAAGACGGGCCAGGATATCTCGAAGCTACGGGCCGACAAGCCAAGGCCCAGGAAGGTGAACCCAAAATACACCGGAAGGGATTGGGCCGTCTGATTTCCGCCTGCGTGCGTAAAGAGGCATGTCCTCTGTATCGGTATAAAGGGGAAGAGAACTCCAGGAAGGAGGCTATCGCTATTGTAACAGAATTAAAACTCGAGCTAATCATTCATCTACCTATACTATTCTTCCTCCTCCTCTGTATCTGCCTACTCCTCTCGTTACCCCAACTACTACCTCTCACATTTGGTATCAGATTCCTTTGATCCTCGGCACTGATCGGTCGCTCGATTCCCTCATCCCCATCGGTTGCTCGTACTCCAACGGTTTTGGTCGGTCTAACCCCGATTCGAGTCTGTGATCTGCAGCTTGAGTTGGGGATTCCATAATTCCGATCCCGGAGTCGCGACTTGTGGTGTGAATCACCGATCTAGATCCCCCGTCCGCCGCATCTCACGACCATTTCACCCGTCGCCAGAAGAAGTTTGGCGTGATGGACCCCACTCAGAAGCTGTTCTTGATGAGATGGATCGCCGTTTCGGCACACGGTTCGACATCATCGACCGCCGCTTCGACGACCTGGAGCAAAAGATCGACGGTACCGCGAGTTCTTCATCGACCCGCCTCGACGCGCTGGAGAACGCAGCGAAGGTGTTCGACGAATGGCGCCCTGGAGTCGACGGACTCATCGATGATCTGCGGGTCGAGGTGAACCACCTGGCGTCCCTCAAGCTGGAGGTCGGGAAGATCTCCAAGTTCATGGAGAGATCCATGGTGGATGGCCCGAGCACTACTCCTGGTGTTCATGGATCCATGCCGTCCGTGCTCATCGCCAAGTCCTCGTCCGCCCCTGCCTCGCCGAGCGCGGCCGTCTTCGCCAACAACCCCATGCGTTCGCCTGCGCTCAAGTCTTCACCATCGTCCCCGACGTTCCGCACGGCTCCTCCATCGCCGAACTACAAGCCGGAGCTGCCGACTCTGCCGAACACTCGTGTTCCGCATGGTGGCTTCGAGGCTGCCCCATGCCCATTTGCGGGATATGCAGCCAACCCACCCAACAGGCACCGCGTCGACCAGGGTGGCTTCGGAGTGGTCACCATTCTGTTGCCACCACATGCCAAGGGTATGTCGTCTAGCCACTCCCCATCCCCTTTGCCTTTACCGCCAGCCCATCCACCACACCCTCCACTGAGTCACCATTTTGAGTCCGGGTACCAGGGAGGATCTAGGGGGGATCACACAGGCAAACTACCTAAGTTTGATTTTCCTAGGTTCGAAGGGGAACATCCGAAGCTGTGGGTTAAGCAAGCCATACACTATTTCCGCCTCTACCGTGTTGAGTCTGTTGTCTGGGTGTCGGCTGCCACTATGCATTTTCATGGCCCTGCCAAGCATTGGCTCTCTTCAATTGAAGATGACCTTGAGTCCATAGAGTGGGATGTGTTTTGTGCTCAGTTGCTCTCTCGTTTTGGACACAATGAGCATGAATTGCTTTTGCGTCGTCTGTTCCGCATTCGTCAGAATGGTTCAGTCGCCGATTATATTGAGCAGTTCGTCAGTTTGGTAGATGAACTTAAGGCCTATGCTAAACACCCAGACCCACTATACTATGTTCAACGATTCATTGACGGATTACGTGATGACATTAAAGCTGTTTTGCTTGTCCACAAGCCGTCTACTCTTGATGCTGCCTGTGTTTTGGCTGAATTGCAAGAAGAGGCGCTGGGTGTCACCAAGAGGGTATTCAGGCGTTCTGATGTGGTGCCTAACCAGAAGACGGCATGGCATGGTGGAGTACCACTACCTATTCCACCACCCCGTACTGATGCTGTGGATGGAAAATGCTCTGGGCCCGTTTCCTCTTCCACTATTGATGAGAAGTTTCAGTCCCTGCGTGCTGCACGCCGTGCCCAGGGCTTATGTTTTTGCTGTGGGGCCAAATGGAGTCGCGACCATCGCTGCTCTGAGGCAGTTCAGCTCCATCTCGTCCAAGAGCTCCTGGACATTTTTCCTGAAGAAGACATTCCTGCTAATGATTCAGGTCCTACTTCTCCTGTTGCTGCTCAAATTATGATGCATCTATCATTCTTCGCTATATCATGGTGCTCATTCCCCCAAGACCTTCTATTTATCTGGTGATATTCAAAGCAATCCATTGTCTATTTTACTGGATTCTGGTAGTTCTCATTCATTTGTCAGTATGGCTTTGGCTGGTTCCCTCTCTGGTGTCCAGCAGTTATCTCCTGCAATAACAGTTCAGGTAGCTAATGGGGCAGTGCTCAGTTGTGATTCCCACATTCCTGCTGCTAGTTGGTCGGTACAGGGCTATTCCTTCACCACTGATTTGAAATTGTTGCCTCTGAGCTCTTATGATATGATTCTAGGCCTTGATTGGATGTCCCATTTCAGTCCTATGCAAGTGGATTGGAGTCAACAGTGGATCTGCATTCCATATCAGGGTAAGTCTGTATATCTTTGGGGTAATATGGCTGCTCTTCCAGCAGGTTCTGTTCTGCAGTTGTCCATAGTGCTAGAAACTCTTCAGCCTGAGCATTCTTCTGTCAGTCTTGTGGTTCAACCATTGTTGGAAGAATTTGCTCATTTATTTACCCCACCATTAGGATTACCTCCTAGCAGGAACTGTGACCACACTATACCACTGATTGCTGGTGCTCAACCTATTTTTGTAAGGCCATACAGATATGCTCCCATCCTTAAATCCGAAATAGAGAAACAAGTAAATGATATGCTGCAACAAGGGATTATATAGCCAAGTTCCAGTGCTTTTGCTTCTCCCATTTTACTGGTGAAGGAAAAGGATTCCACATGACGGTTTTGCATTGATTATCGACAGCTGAATGCTATTATTGCTAAAACTAAGTATCCAGTGCCTATTATTGAAGAGCTGCTAGATGAACTGGCTGGTGCTTCTTATTTCACTACTCTGGATTTGCAGGCAGGGTTCCATCAAATTCGCATGAAAGAGGGTGAAGAATTCAAGACTGCTTTCTAGACACATTTTGGCCAATTCGAGTTCAGAGTGATGTCATTTGGCCTGACAGGAGCTCCTAGAACCTTTCAAGGTGCCATGAACACTACTTTGCACCCTTGTCTTAGAATGTTTGCACTGGTCTTTTTCGATGACATTCTGATATACAGTAAGAGTTTGGAGGAGCATCTCCAACATATAAGAATTGTTTTTCAGTTGCTTACTAAGGATCAGTGGCACCTGAAGTTATCTAGATGTGTATTTGCTCAGACATCTATTTCCTATCTGGGACACATCATCAGTGGTGCAGGTGTGGGCACAGACCCTTCTAAGCTGACAGCTATTGCAAATTGGCCGACTCCTTCTGTCAAGGAACTTCGATCATTTGTGGGACTAGCTGGATATTATCGCCGGTTTGTACGCCACTTTGGTATTATCTCCAAGCCATTGACTGCATTACTCAGGAAACACTCCTTGTTTGTGTGGACTCAAGATCACGCTGCTGCCTTTCAGACATTGAAAGAAGCTCTTTGTCAGTCTCCAGTTTTGTCTTTGCCTGACTTCTCCAAACCGTTTGCTATTGAAACTGATGCATCTGAGGTTGGTATTGGTGCTGTCTTAATGCAGGAAGGCCATCCAATTGCATTTAAGAGCAAGGCATTAGGGCCGAAGTCTCGAGGACTCTCTACTTATGAGAAAGAGTTCATGGCCATCTTATTGGTAGTACAAGCCTGGCGACCTTATTTGCAATTTCAAGAATTTGTGATTCTCACCGATCAGAAGAGTCTGACTCAGCTGTCTGACCAACGTTTGCATACTTATTGGCAACAGCGTGTATTCTCCAAGCTCCTTGGACTTCAATACCACATTGTTTACCATCCTGGCTCTGATAATCGTGCAGCGGATGCTCTGTCACGGCACCTAACTCCAATGGCGTCGTGTGCGACAGTATCTACTTTGGTCCCATCGTGGATATCAGCCGTGGTGGCTAGTTATGCTCAGGATCCCTCGGCTCAGTCTATGATTGCTAAATTGGCTTTGGATTCAGCCGTAGTGCCCAATTTCACCCTCCAGTCTAGGGTCCTTCGCTATCGATCCCGCATTTGGGTTGGCCATGATGTCTCTCTGCAGCAGCGTCTGTTGTCTGAATTCCACGCCAGTGCCTGGGGTGGCCATTCTGGTGCACCTATGACATTTCGTCATCTCAAGTGGTGTTTCACGTGGAAAGGAATGAAGACGGCTGTTCATCAGTTTGTACGAGCCTGCTCGGTCTGTCAGCAATCCAAGCCCGACCGCTCCAAGCTGTCTGGTCTTCTCTAACCGCTCCCGGTGCCTGACACGGCCTGGCAAGTGATTTCGCTTGATTTCATTGAAGGTTTACCTCTATCTGCTTCCTTCAACTGCATTATGGTTGTGGTGGATCTCTTAACTAAATACAGCCACTTCATTCCACTAAAACACCCATTCACAGCTGCTGGTGTGGCGCAGAGTTTCTTCAGTACTATTTATCGTCTTCACGGCTTGCCTCAGTCACTGGTGTCAGATCGTGACAGGATCTTCACTAGTCACTTTTGGTCTGAATTGTTTAAATTGGCTGATGTTAAGCTCTGTCATAGCTCAGCCTATCATCCGTAGTCCGACGGGCAGACTGAACGAGTCAACCAGTGCCTCGAGACATATTTACGTTGCTTTGTTCATGCTTGTCCTAGAAAATGGAGTTCTTGGCTTACTGCTGCTGAGTTTTGGTACAACACCTGCACCCACTCTACTACTGGACGAACTCCATTTGAAGCATTATATGGTTACTCGCCTCGCTTGCTTCCTGTTGCTCTGGGCTCCACAGCTAATGAAGAGGTTATTCAGTGGGTTTCTGGTCGTGACTGGATGGACCAGCTCCTTCAACATCATCTCAATCGAGCCAAGCAGCGTATGAAGAAGCACGCTGATCTTCACCGCTCAGAATGATCGTTCGAAGTGGATGAGCTGGTGTACTTGAAGCTCCAACCATATGTGCAGTCTTCTCTTGCTCCCCGTGCTCATCAGAAGTCGGCCTTTCGTTTCTTCGGTCCCTTCCGCATCTTAGCTCGTGTTGGGTCTATGGCTTATAAGTTGGAGTTACCTGCTCATTCATTGCTTCATCTGGTTTTCCATGTTTCTCAACTCAAGAAGGCCGTGGGTGCATCTCATCAGGTGGTACCTACTCTCCCAACTGATTTTGCATTACATCTTTCTCCAGAGAAGATATTGCAGACTTGCTCGGTGGTTCGCGATGATGTTCGTGTGTCTCAAGTGCTGGTTAAATGGAACAACTTGCCATTGGAACTCGCCACTTGGGAGGATTATGAGGCCCTTCGCCAGGAGTTTCCAAGATCCACTGCTTGGGGGCAAGCAGCGAACCAAAGGAAGGGGGGACGTCAGTACTCAGCTACCGAGTGCTACCTCAGAAGAGCCTACGAGCAAGACGGGCCAGGATATCTCGAAGCTACGGGCCGACAAGCCAAGGCCCAGGAAGGTGAACCCAAAATACACCGGAAGGGATTGGGCTGTCTGATTTCCGCCTGCGTGCGTAAAGAGGCATGTCCTCTGTATCGGTATAAAGGGGAAGAGAACTCCAGGAAGGAGGCTATCGCTATTGTAACAGAATTAAAACTCGAGCTAATCATTCATCTGCCTATACTATTCTTCTTCCTCCTCTATATCTGCCTACTCCTCTCGTTACCCCAACTGCTACCTCTCACAGTATTCTCAAATCTTCGAAGACCCAACACACCAACTCATGCCTAAACTGGCTATTTCGTGCGCAGACGAATTACAAACTGGAGGAACATGTAGACACTCGAAATGAAAGAAATTCTCCCAAATCAACGAGCGAATATCCTGGGAAATAATTCCTGCTGGCGCGTGCTCCATCTCGACGGTTTGCACTCCCTTCTGTAACAGCATAGAATCTGTCTCCAGCTGCACCCTCGGGATGCCATGAAACACTACAGCTTCGATCGCCTTCCAACACGCTACGGTCTCTGCCATTGAAGCATCATGGAGGTCTTCCAGTTTTCCGGCCCTGCTAGACTGCATCTCCTGTAACAGCATAGAATCTGTCTCCAGCTGCACCCTCGGGATGCCATGAAACACTACAGCTTCGATCACCTTCCAACACGCTACGGTCTCTGCCATCGAAGCATCATGGAGGTCTTCCAGTTTTCCGGCCCTGCTAGACTGCATCTCCTCAATGGTCACGTATAATGAAGCCCCAGACCCCCATCCTGGAAGCCGGTATGAATGCTCCTCCATCTGTGTTGATCTTTAGCAAGCCATCTGGCGGTGGCGACCATCCACACCTCCCTACTATCGGATTACTCACCAACTCACCTCTCCAGCATGCCTCCGTAGCCATATACCGAACAAAAGCTCCTGATTTCAGATGTCAACAGTAGCTTCTCCCCTGCATTCACTGCATTCCGCATATTCCACCATTTCCGGATAGCGTATTGTTTGGTCTTATAGATGTCTTGGAAGCTTAGAGTTTCAAAGTGACTGGGCCTGCGCTGAGATCTCGATAGCACAACGCTGGGCTGTGAAGCAAGAGTTAGAGATAGCAGGGACGTTCTGGGCGGAAAAAGTCTATTTTGCCTCTTCAACTATCGTGAAAGTCAGTTTTTTCTTCTTTAACTCTAAAGCCAAAAATAGTTCATCCCTCATCTCTCAAAACCGATCACTTAACCTCCATGGCTATTTCCGTGGGTGGGTTTTCTTTTTTTCATTTATGTTTATTTCGGCTAAATCTTTAAAAAATCATAGTAAATCAAAGAAAAATCATAAAATGAAAAATTCAATTGTGTTGAACTCCACATGGTTAGATTTACACAATGAACATATGATATACTATGCTTTAGCACAAAGCTTTTGCTGTAACTTTAGATATATATTTTTCTATAATTAATTCATAGCTGTGGTTTCTCTGGTCCAATTATGGTGAAATTTTATGGTGGGTTAATCATTACATGCTTGAGCAGTAGTAAAAATTTCATGCTCATTGGATCACAGATGATTGAGTTATAGATTTATCTATGTTTATGTTTGTTAAATAGTTTTAAAATGAAATTAAATCTATAACTCAGTTATACATGATCCAATGAGCATGAAATTTTTGTTGGACTCCACATGAATAGATCTACATCGTAAATATATGATATGGTATATTTTACTACAAAATTTTTGTTGTAGCTTTAGATTTAAGCTTTTCTGTAATTAATTCATAGCTGTAGTTTCTGTTGTCCAAATATGGTGAAATTTTTATAGTGGGCTAATAATTGAATGCTTGAGCTATAGAAAAAATTTCATGCTCATTGGATTACGTATGATTGAGTTATAGTTTTATCTAGATAAACCTAGATAAATCTATAAGTCAGTCATATATGATCCGATGAGCATGAAATTTTTTTCTACAGCTCAAAAACTTTGTTCTAAAGCATACCATATTATATGTTCACTGTGTAGATCTATTCACGTCGAGTCTAACAGAAATGGATTTTTCATTTTATGATTTTTCTGTGAATTACTATGATTTTTCAAAGATTCAACCGAACAGCCATAGAGGTCAAGTGATCGGTTTTAAGAGACGAGGGAGAAATTATTTCTCTTTTCTGGTTTTAGAGTTGAGGGAGGAAAAACTGACTTTCGCGATGACTGAGGGAGGCAGAGTAGACTTTTTCCTTGATGGGCAGAAAATTGCCTGTTCGGTTGTTCCATGTTCAATGGACTGCAACACTGCAACCACCCATCCAGTTTTGTGCTGAGTTATGCGAGCAAGATTCTGAACGAAAGAAAGATCTTCAGAGTCAGAGCTGAGAACGCATCCATGCCATATTTATCTTTCAGCTGGCAGGACCAGCCGACCAGGACTGAACCGAATGGTCGATGGAGATTCCCCCAAAAGAAGAAGTGATGGAGATGTAAGAAGGCATATGCAGATGCAGGGGATGAAATCATCAGAAACAAGGGCAGATTGGTGACACGAAAACAGAGACCACCCATCCTAATGAATCCGTATAAGAAGTCTGAATACATGAGTAGTAGTATATAAAGTTAATTGATTCAGACACAGAATTAGGTGTGGTATTGATGAGAAGGAATAATTAGTCCCTTTCGCGACATTGAACACCGCCATTTATGTGCGAAGAGCTAGCAAATGATTCGTTGGTAAGCAGAGCAAAGCACGCAGGTCCCTATCGCGCGAAATGTGGCTGTCACAGCTCATTTGAGAGGTGTTACAATTGATGTTCGTCGAGTTGGTGACAAGCTAGCAGCTGATGGCAACAAACTCGTTGCATTGGTCCCAATCAAACCATCAATACAGACAGACTCACTGACTCTTGTATAAGTATACATATATGATCCATTCAGGTCACTTTAATTTATACCAGAAAAGAAAAAAAAATCTAGCAGGAGAGGAAGAGAGTGTATATATGGGAGAAAGTCTTGGCAGGATACAATCGGTCATCCTACAATTATACGTACATGTTCTTGGATCTTTTGCAGGGTACCATGCATGTTATTCCATCTTGGATCTTTACTGCAGGCCATAATTAACCTTGCTTGCTTGCCTCCCATAATTAACCTTCATTCATTCATTCAGTCTGTGCACTGATCACAGTTTATGGACGAAGGATGGATATGCATGGATAAGTATACCAAAACCAGCAGCAAAGTATTTGTGTTGGAATGAACGGAAGGCCTGCCTGAGAAGAACGAAGCAAAGCAAGCAACGCAATGCATAGCTAGTCGGCCCTCCAGATGGCCTCGAGCTCGGCGGCGAAGAGCTTCTCCTGGCCGACGACGATGGTGATGTGGTCCTTGCGGTCGTAGACGGTGACGCGCGCGCGGGGCACCCTGGCCCCCGCGGCCAGCGTGCAGTCGACGGGGAGCAGCTCGTCGTCGCGGCCGTGGAAGAGGGCCACCTTGCACGAGAGCTGGTGCGCCACCACGTCCAGGTACGCGTCCATCCGCGCCGCGCTGCCGCAGATGATGTTGTGCAGCGTGTGCCACGCCGCGTTGTGCGTGTGGCACATGAACGCCTCGATCAGGAACGTCCGCACCCTGCAAGGCAACGTATACCACGCCGGAGGAGTTAGTAGCAGTGATGGCACGCACGACAGACAGCAGTAACGAGAGGAAGGAGATGCGCGCGGGCCACGGCGGCGGCCATGACCTGACCCCGGAGTAAACTCGGCTTGCCACATGCACAGCGTTGCCTGGAGTGGCCCATGTGTTGGGGCGTGCGTGTGTGTGTGCAGATAGTGTAGATCTCAGTCAGACTGTCAGAGTGAGTGGCAACTAGGGTCTTGTTTAGATACCATCCAAATTCCAAGTTTTTTCACTCTCTCTCCATCACATTAATTTTTAGCCGCTTGTATGGAGTATTAAATGTAGGTAAAAAAAATAACTAATTACACAGTTTAGTTGAAAATCAAGAGATGAATCTTTTGAGTCTAGTTGGTCCACGATTTAACAATATTTGACAAATAAGACGAAAGTGATACTATTTATCGAGTTTATTTTTTTTTTCAATCTAGACAAGGCCAAGGAGTAAGCATGATTGATGTGCAGTATGGAGCCCACGCTTTCGCACCCCGGCACTGCATGTCGTGCCTTGCGGGGAAGATGGAACCTTCTCTGTTTCTCCTGCAGTCACTGCCCACTGCTCTGCTGCTCACTCAACCTGGGCAGGCGATCGACCATGGCAGTGCTGTGTGTCCTGTTCACTGAACCGTAGGACAGGACAGGCACTGACAGACGTACTTAGGCCTGGTTTAGTTGTACGGCGTAAAGTTCTGGCGCGTCACATCATATCCAGATACTAATAAAAAAATAAATTACAGAATCCGTCAATAAACCGCGAGACGAAAGCCTAATTAATCCATCATCAACACATGTGTTACTGTAGCACTTTATTGTCAAATCATGAACTAATTAGGCTTAAAAGATTCGTCTCGCAAAGTAGTCGCAATATATGTAATTAGTTACTTTTCAGTCTATATTTAATACTCTATGCATGTATCAAATGTTTGATAGGATAGGACGTAAACTTTTGGGGATGAACTAGACGAGGCCTTAACTCCCCCTACCGTCTGTCATTTCTTCCTTTCCTTCCTCGGCCTTGCAGTGCCGGCTCCGTCGAAAAGACGAAAAGCCTTTGCGTGCGCAGGCCGGCCGGTCGTCACAGGTCCGGGCACGGCTGTCGACGACAAGCGCACGGCGCGTCGGTAGACTGTATGCGGATCAAAGCCCTGGACTGGAGTCTGGAGGGGATGGGAAATTGGGAATAATTGGTGGGATGCCGGGGGGATGGGGTCCGGCGGGGGTTAAGTTAATACGGGCCGCCGATTCAGCTACGCGCGCGCGGCGCGGGTCGCCGTCGCCGCCGTGCTGGGCTGTCTGCCGCCCGTTCCGCGTTGGTCAGGGAGGGAGGACACATACATATCGCTCTCAGTGTGTATCGCTGTCATGTAAATCCACCGGCTTATATTAGCTTGCGAACTACTCGTAGTGCTTTGTCTTGGCTACGTACTACTGCTGCTAAGTACACTTGTGCATGCTTGACAAGAAAGGCTAGAGCTGTTGGTGAACGGCGATGCACGGTACGGTAGCTGCTACTCCCACAGCTGGTCGTACGCGTGCAGCCGTGGCCGTGTAGGATAATTAAGGGCAGTCGATGGTTATGGTGCAGACCGATTAGTAGTAAATGGAGCCGTGACGATGAAGCTAGCTACTAGCTAGTCCCAGGGACTACGAGGGACAGGACAAATGATGTATGCTGCCCGGCGTCCGGTGACGGTGAGGTGGTGCCCGGGAACAGCATTTTCAGGCACCATTGATGGAGGAGACGCATGCAGGCCGGCCGCACAGGTACTACCAGAAGGCCTGTGCGCTCGAAGTAATTTAGAGGAATCTAAATGGTGTGAGAGAGTGAACAATATTTTTCAACCGGGGACAGTAAATTCTGGCTGAAAAACTGACCAGCCGAACTGCCCCGAACAGAGGTAGGAGGACCTGCACAGGATCTATCGTATACTACTAGTAGTCTACAAATACGCAACAGTGCAGCTGTGCCGTTCGCGTGCCACGTCGACCAGCTCGATGCATTGCAGTGCAGGAAACCAAAAACAGACCAAGAAAAGCTGGTGTGTGTACCTGTTCCTGGTGAAGATCCTGAAGAGGCGGTCCCAGACGCGGTGCTGGCGGCAGATGGTGAGGCAGATGGTGCGGCTCACGTGCTCGTACCAGCACGCCATCGAGCCCCCGAACGCGATCGGCGGCCACACCCGCCGCGGCGCCACGCGGCGCATCACGTACTGCGCCGCCGCTCCGGCGCCCGCCGCCGACACCGACTCCGGCACCGGGAAGTAGGGCTGCACATGCAGTTGCAGTCACCGGGGTCGAGCAGCAGCTCTCGGTCAGTCAATCAGTCGTCAGCCCCGAGCAGTAACAGTAGCAGAGCTTGACTGAGTGAGTGAGTGAAAAATTAATTGAAAGCAGCGTGCGCGTTGTTGACTACTGTACAACACACATGACACACAGGTCATTACATCACTCAACTGCCCAGGCGTCCGCCCGGACGGACGGAGCCAAGCTCAAGTGGCAGCCTGAGATCGAGCAGAGACCACGAACGGACGGACTCACCGGCGCGAGGAGGGTGAGCGACTTGACGGCGGCGGGGTGCTTGACGGCGAGGGCGAGGGCGAGGACGGAGCCGAGGGAGTGCGCCACCACGTGGAAGGAGCCGAGGCGGTAGCGCCGGAGCACGGAGCGCTCGATCATCTCCACGTGCTCGCGAAGCGTGTACAGCGACTCCGCCGGCTTGGGGCTGCGCCCGAACCCCAGCAGGTCCACCGCGAACATCCGGTACCGGGACCGCGCCGCGGGGCTGAACGCCGGGAACACCGTCTCCGTCCAGAACACGGACGACGAGATGAAGCCGTGGATGAACACCACGTCCTCTGTCTCCACCGGTGGTAGCGTCGGCGGTGGAGCCTGGACGTGGACGTAGAGGTGGGACGACGACGCCGGGGAGACGCTCCAGGCGTGGCACACCTTGCAGTCGCAGTCGGACCAGCACGGCGCCTGCCGCGGCGGGCGCGGGGGACGGTCCATCTTGCCGCGGATCAGCTCCGCGATGGCGGGGCTGACGGTGAGCGCGGGCGCCGCGTGGACGCCGTTGCTGGAGCCGGTCCGGGTGGCGTCGGCCAGCAGCGACGGCCGCACGTACAGCGTGTCCGACACGTCCTCCAGCTGCAGCTTGGCGGATGACGACTCCGACGACAGACGCACCACCTTTGGCCCGGCCACGGCCGCCGGCGCGGCGGCGGCGGCCACCTGCACCCCTCGCGGGCCCGCCGACCCCGCGGCCGCGCAGTAGCAGGACTTCCACTCCGCCTCCGCCGCGTAGTCCACCAGCTTGTACACCAGGCACAGCACCACGTCCAGCACGTCCAGCGCCGAGAACACCATGAAGCTCACCGCGCAGTTGAGCGCGCACCCGGCCACGCCCAGCGCCGCCACCACCCTCGCGCGCGCCGCGCCCCACTCGCCGGCGCCGGCGCCTTTCCCGCCGCCTCCCACAGCAGCAGCAGCAGCTCCCCCCATGCCGCCGGCCGCCTTCTCTTGCCACACGCAGGTCGCAATGTGCATTGCTCGATCGCCGCTCGCGCGCTCCCCGGCCGGCCTCGATCAGACTACGTAACCACCGACGCCGGCCACCAGCTGGTGGGCAGCAGCACGGAGCGAGCGAGCAACCAACCGACGGCGCGCGGCGGCAGAGTGGGAGGCGAGCCCCGGAGGCAGCAGCAACAAAAAGGCTGCTGCCTTTTTGTAAGAAGAGAAGAGTAAGAGTAACCGACGAGCGATGAGGTGAGACAGCCGGAGGGTTTAACGCGGAAGAAGAAGAAAGGCGCGCATTTAAGCGCGGTTGGAGGCGGGTGGCTTGCTTTGGTTTCTTGCTTCTCTCCCTTGCGTTTGGGTTGAGGGACGCCGGGGCAAAAGGGTGGTTGGGTTAAATAGAGGGACTCGGCTCTCCGGTGGCTTGGCTGCTTGGGCGGGCGGCGGCGGCTGCCAGGCCACAGCCACACAGGCCCCCACCGCCACCGCCACCAGCTGAAAGCTCTATGCGCCCAGCGGCAATTAGTTGCGATGTTCTTTTGCTCGCTCAGGACTCGGGAGGAGAGGGTTAACGGTTGTTCATCATTTGGGTTTGGAGCAGTGTTCACGTCTCCGACTTGATGACACAGGCATATACATGCAGCCACGTGGCTAGCGGCCGATGGCAAGGTTTGTTTCGTTTACTCAGAGCCCGCCGGCCGTAAATCCTTCTTGTCAGTGTCTAACGGCAGTGTCCATGTACCATATATCGGTGTCTTTCCCTGTCTTTCTTAGAATGGTAATGGTAAATATGCGTCCAAAGGGTATCTCGGTGTTCTTCACATGTCGACGTGGTATTGACGCTGTTACTTTGCATGCCTGCTTCTTATTTGCTGAACTAGTTCACCAACCCGTGCTCTAGCGTGGTCTAAATTTATACGAGATATATGTATCAA